TTTCAATTCTAGCTGGCATTTACTTTTCTAAAGGCCACGTCCGATTGAAACCTTCGGATCTTATCGATCATTTTATGACCAATTAAAACGAATAGCGTAGCTATCCCTGACAAGTTAAGGAAATATCGTAATCATTATTGATTATATAAAGACTAATATAAATTGAATATAGCGTTTGCTTTATTGTTCCACCATCTATGACTTGGTCTGCAAAGATTTTATTTTATATCAACTGAAAAAACGGAAAAATGTTTCAATGTCGTGATTGCAATTTGATCTTAAAAGTTTCGCTCGCATTTATAATTGCGATGTATGATGTCTGTGTATAACCACGTATATGTATATCACAGTTAAATAATAATTTATGGTAACGCGAATAATAATAATAATATCGTTGCATGCGATGTTTCATGCCGCAAATGTTGACAGAGAGTGACCATCTGGCCTTCCGTGCCGTGCATCGCGAGCACTCTATAACGTCGCGAACTACTACATATCGTTATATGTAGCTTATAGGAGCGTGAGACCTTGCATGTTTGCGAATAGAAACTGATAGATAAATACATTTTTTTTTCACTTGCTCTATCTCTCTTACTTGTGTTAATTACAAAGAAAAAAAATCATCAGAAGGATATTTTTCGCCCAGTGGGAGGCAATTTATTCTTATAACAAATTATTACATATGTTTTTTCTTATGACTACGATCAATTTGTAATACTAATAATGTTTCTGATATCTTACACCAATGCATATCAGAAATGACTCTCTCTCTCTTACAGAAATCCAATTAATACTGATCAATTTAATACTGAAAGGTAGTGATTAATTACTTATGTTGATATTAAAAGTATTGACCAATATGATGCTTTTAATCCGTAACAAGAATGATTTTTACGTTTGGAACATACCAATTCTTTTGGACTAACTAAAGTTTTTATTATTAGTTTTATTTTTTTTTTTTAAGAACTTTTCAAATTCAAAACCGTAAAGTACAAAATTGTCAAACATAAAGTGTCATTCCAAAGCATTATTAGTTAAATATTAGGAAAAGCCTCAAGGTCATCAAGACCCATATGTTCAGTTATAATTTAATACTAATTCAGTTATGAGTTAATACTAAAATAAGTTGTTAATTACTACCTTCTAATGTTAAATTTTTACAAAGGAGCTTGAATTTCCGCGTGTTCTTAGTAGACTTTTACTCTTTCAGCAAGTAGCGAATTTTACGCCGGTAAAACCGACTTCAAAATTGTAGAATAAATCTTACAGAACTGCTGAAAAGAGAGATATCCGGCAGGTTTAGGACGTTTTTTTGGCAGCCATGACTTTACTGTAATAGCTGTTAGTCAACACTTGAAACACAATAAGCATCCGACATACAGTCGCTTCGTGATCTGATGATAGCACCTCTGCCAAAAATGTGAAGTTTATCTAGAGCACGGGAACAATGTGAAAGCGTTTGGTTCACCATCTCCGTCCAAGAGAATGTCCGACTATTCTTAACGTCACCGATAATACATGGGTGACAGTTCTTGAACGTTGGGGAAAAGGAGTATAAGTCATGAGAGCGAGTTTTAAGGCACAGAGACGACAACAAAGGATCAAGGGAAAGATGCAAGATCCTGAGTTTGAACGCTATTTTTAGTATAGTCATCACGTAGGAAGACACCTCCCATAAAGAAGGTGCGCGTTTCGAAACAACTAACATTACGCTGCGCATGTAAATATATTTATACGTCTAATAAACACGAAACAGCACTAATTAAGGTATATACAAGTATAAATAACTTATGCGCAAGTATAAATAGCTTTAATACTCTCTCTATGAAATTAATCAACACTGAAAGATAAGATTGGTTGTTGCAACCATTTAGATAGTAAAATATGGCATAGCATTTTTATATGGTTGCTTATAAAAATGCTATGCCATATTTTACTACCTAAATTGTTGCAGCAACCAATCTTTTTTTTCAGTGAAGAATTATGTTGCTTTGCGATTAGAGACGAAAATATTTTGTGTTATACTACTTCTCTAAGTATAGCAAAACTTGTAATGAACATTATGATGTACTTCTCTAATATGATTATAATTTTTTATTTTATTTATGGAAAAAAAATAGAAATTAAAAATTATGACGTTTAGACTTGAGACGAAATTACCTTGTAATTTAAATACACGAAAAACGACAGTTTTGCTGAAATATCTAAGAATTTAGCTAGATGCATAACCGTAACGATATGTAGAACATTGGAACTAATTGCTAGAATATTAAAATTTTTTGTAGCATTCCTCGTCATGCTTGAAATTCCTTCGTAATTATTTTCATGGTCCAACAAAGTTCTTTTCAGATTCATATCTAGCTACATTTTTAACATATTTCAGCAGAATCGTTCTTTCTACTTTATTAGTATAAAAACTTATAATATATTATAATATATATAAATAAAATTATTTAAAAACTTATAATTATAATAGACATTAGAACATGTTTATTTAATATGATTAGTAGCGGGATTCTCTAAACGTCTTATCGATGATTGTCGCTAATCGTTAACTAGCGATAGCCAATGGCAGGGTAATCCTAGAAGAAAGCGCGACTCTCATTGGTTGTCGCTAGTTAACGATAATGACAATTGTCTAATTATATATAAAATATTTTTTCGCGGAAAGTTAAAAAAAATTACTCGTAACTATAACTTCGTTACAATTAACAAGTTACGTCCATTCCCTGAAAATGATCATAATTTTTTATTTTAATTTATTTACGGAAAGAAGGGACGGATGGATTTTATACAAATGTCTAGCGAAACGAAGACTGTAACGTGTCTCTGTGCTATGAAAGACTTATAGTCTTCTTCTTTGACGGTAAAGAATTACGATAGCTTCCCCGATTTTCCTCCCTTATTTTATATGTTACGTTATCGCCTTCGTCACTCTGATGGCGCCTTCCCCTCTTCTCCTCACAAGCTATCAATCCAATGTCAAACTTCAGTAAACTATTTTAGTAGCGGGCCGAGGGAGCGAACACATCACCCTCGAGCGACGACCAGCGACAGTCGATAATCTGGCCGAAGGTAAAACAGGAGGGAGCAAACCCTGCTCTTTTGGTTTTCCTTTAACCGACCGCGAGTCAACCGGCGAGCTTGCACCCCTTTATTACAATTTACCAAGCGCTTGCAGCTTTTCTTGTTATCATGAGCTTTCGAGATCTAACATATACTACTTAAATTGTGTCCGATTGAGCTTTCATAGGCCTGTTTCTACTACTCACCATTTATACTACTATTACTATTTATACTGTTACTATCATTACTTACCTATTACCTGTACTATTTTGATTTACAATATGCCAGCATTTAAATTTCACCGTTTGAAAAATTTTAAAGAAATACTATTATTATATTTTATACTTCTGCCATACAATTATCAGACGAGCATTGTGTAGCCTCGCTCGATCAGCCATTTTATACTCGCAAATCTGAGAACGTCTAGATGCATACATAGATATCTTCAATAACTTTATATGAAGCAATCCGGTTTTGATAATATTATAACTTGCATTCGACCCTTTATTATTTATTCAACTATTAAATTTATCTCAGGGAAAATTTGTCTCGGAATTTTTATACGATTTCGATTTTTTATAAATACTGAAAAAGTTGATATTTTTCTTAAAATTTTTTATGTATTTTAATTTTGAAGTATTTTAAGATTTCTTATTCTATAATTTCTGAAAAACCTTAAATTTTTTTCAGATTTTGTAAGATTTTGTCAAAAATCATAGAATAAATTTTAGAATATTGTAGAATTGATATATATAAAAAATTTATTTATGTAAAGATACATAAACTTTCTTTATACTTCCACGGAATAAAACGCTACGATTGTCACAACCAGAAATAATAATAATTTTCGTCCATCAATATATTTGGTTGTGATAATCATAAGATGGACGTATATATCTTAACAGGTACAGTTAAGATATGCCAATCTTACAATTATCGCAATCATATAACTTGATTCTTATAACCAAAAAATGTATTGATGGGCAACTTTTGGTCATGACAACTGTAGCTGTTTTTTCCGTATCAGAAAAGTGTTCCAATTTATATAAAAAAATTGACAAATTTTCTAAAAAGTTACAAAATTATCCATAAATTGAAAAAAATTATATATAAAAATTTTGAAAAATTTTAAGGAAAATTTTTTAGAGTAACAGAGGAAACATTATTTCACGAAAAATCTTTCTCTTGGATGCCCTTTGTAATATATTATTTATCTAGATAAAAGAACAGGGGAGACCGAGGCCGGTTGTCACAGTTTTCGATTTTGATTAGTAATTTTTAGAAAAATGCCTGACTTTAAAATCTGGAGACACGGTAATGGCTACTTTACGCAAATCGTTACATCCTTTAAGTATTAAAAGAAATATTACTCGTGAATTCATTATATCGTGAAAATAAGTTATTTAATTTTAAATGAAGCTGCGAAAACGTGATAACTAATCCCGTGTCCTGAGGTGATTGTTACACATTCTAAGATTAGCAGTAACATATTTGTTATGGACAATATGTATAAAAAAGACAATTTTTATTTTAACATCAGTTCTATATTTTGAGAAATAATAGTAATGATAAAGACTTAAACCATGAGTGGAAACGTTCAAAGTCAAGGTTTATATTTTTAGTATTAAGAAGAATTGCACTAATTAATAACCAGCGTTGACTCCTATTGCCTGTACTGTATGTTTTATATTTTTTCTAAATTGCATTCACAAAGTTTGTTAGAATAATGATTAATTAATTCTAGCAAAAATCTTCTAAGATATGTCATTTTCTATGAATACAGGGATATCGCGATTAATAATGTCAAACACTTGTCAGATAACAAAATAGGTGATAAGAAAAATTTACTCACCAAGTTCATTTTCTTAAAAATCACTATAAATAATATATACAATGCTTGTGGTGCAAACCATCTATCTACATTTAAAAAAGAGATTTTTCTGCCATATCCTCTTTGAGTTATAAACATTTTGACAATCAATCCCGTACGACAACTAGCCCCGGTCTCCCCTACTCTGTTTCGTTTTGTAAATACCTATAAGTTATCGATTTATTCTTGTCTTGGCTCTTGCTCTGTCAAATCGAAGATGAAAAGCAAACGAATGCTAACGAACATAAATGGACCTGTCTCATTGCATTTATCAAAGCAAATTATTCACTTGTATTTGTTGACACTTGTTTATTTGATCTGGATTCGACATCAACGAATATTTCTCGATCATTTGATTCTTTAAAAACAGCTCAATTTAGGATTTCGAGTACATTTGACTGATTGAGAATCAAGTTTCTACACTTTTCTTTACAACGAGACAAGAATGATGAAGCATTCACGGCTTTTTTAACTCAAACACATATGCAAACATCATATTCGGGCATTTGCTCAGAGTATACAATTATGTATATCTACGTACTGATCGCAGAACCATGAATTGCGTCTAATCGCGGAGCCGCGATCAACAACAATTGCCATGTATCATTGTATAAATCATCAGCAAGACGATCCCCCCCATTATACAGGGTGTTTGAAAAATAATGATAAATCTTTTGCATAGGGACTTTTGCAGAATGGACTAAACTGAGAAGAGAAGTCCTGTACCATTTTGCAATTTTTAACAATTAATATCTTGTTAACTATTGCGAAAATTGCAAAATGATACAGGAGTTTTATTTCTTTTAAGTTTAGTCTCTTCCGCGCCTATGCAAAAGATTTTTATCATTATTTTCCAAAACCCTGTTTACATATAGAATCCGATATAGCTTTAAATTAACGCATATTAATCACGCGATATATAACCGTCTTGCGTGACTTTTACGAACAATAAAACGATCTTTCTTTCACAGGTATGCAGCTTCTAGTGCGGATTAATTAACTTGTTTTAACACACCTCTGAACGCTTCTAGAGAGATATAGGCTCGGTTATTTTTTCATTCGTCGAACTGCTCGTGGCCATCGAAGCGATCATCGATATGATTTTTTATTAATATTATCACAAGATATATATTAAGAAGGAAATAATATACTCTTTTGCCTACACTGAGAGAAAAATGTTTTGTATTTGTAACTATAATTATATATTACTATAATTATGATTATTACTGCTATAATAATAATAACAGTAACTATGTATATAGTTCTAGCAACAAATGTATATACTATAGTTGACAACCTAAAATGACTGTAATTATAATTATTATAACCATAAAATAGTAATTTCAACTATTTTATGGTTATAATAACTATAATTATATAATAATTTTAAGTTGCCAACTATAGTCACAAACATTAAACATTTTTCTCTTACATTCATATATACACATATATATATATATATATATATATCTTCTATCAAATATTACTTACATAACAATATTGAAATTAAGTAAAAAACACTCTAAAACAGAAGAATAATGTAGAATTTATTTGCATGTGATATGATCGTTTCGTTGTTCCATTGTATTTACATTAGATTAGTATGCATATATACTATTGTAAAACTTGACCGGAAGAATTATGTCGTTTAAGACACGTATTATATCTATACACGTGCCTGCATTTTTATTAGATTATTATACTATCAGCTTTCTTCATAATTGTTAAATACGTCGAGAGGTTGTCGATTAACAATGTACATAAATACGATTGGTCTTGTGACTTAGCTCATTAGATTCGCTATCGCCAGTTTCAAAGATTCATTTAAGATTCGAATAGATTTGTTTTGATCGAGCCTGTATTTCGCGCCTATAGATTTTGAATTAACGATAATGACAATATCACTTTGCCTTTTGCGTAGCACAATTTAAAAGAGACTTACGTCTATTCGTTTTTTGTAGCAGCGAAACATTCAAAAATCTTTCCTGGCGTCGCTTCCGAAAGCGATCTGCAAAAATGGCGGACGTCCAGGGATAGAAAGTCGCCGTCTCTGAGTCAGATGGGACCGGATTCCATCAAACACAAAGTAAGTTGTTTACCGTTCTCAAAAACACGAAGATTACTCGTGTGTTTAATGCCCATCCCTTAGCTTAGGTTACCTACTTTTCCAAACATAGAATTATTTAATTAATAATAAATATAAACAAAATGGATATATATTTTTTAGTATGTTATTACCTTTAAAACTTTGTTAATGCGTGCTTTTTATATCATTACACAGTTTTCCTTACAAGACAATGGATCTGCAAAATATTTTCAAGGAGCGATGCACACACCAAATATGGGAGAAAAAGTTGCTCAAGTAAGTGAAATATTCTTATATTGTAATTAAAGAGCCACGTTAAAGAGCAATCTAACGATTCTATTAAACGAAATTGTGAGAGAGGAAACAGGTAGAAAATCTCGAAATAGCATAATAGTAAAAAAACATTCATTTCTATTAATTATTCTGTAGGATTATCCACAAAAATGAATTCTTTATTACGTATATAATGTAAAACTGGTCACTATAGCATATAGAAAATTCGAAACTCACTCGTAATATCATTCGAGAACATTTTGGGAGATGGCAGGAAATTAAAAGCATCACGACAATGCACTTATCTAACGTAATTGAAATTGGCGTAAAACTGCTTTGCGGAAATGAAAACGTCAAACATTCTTTGGTAGGTCAAAGATATCTTTCGCCTACTTGGAACAATTCAGTTTCATGGATTAAAGATAGGGTTTGTCAAGAAGTTAAATCTCATTTGTGATACTAGCTAAGTGAAATGTGTTTTTGTCACGAAATATTTCCGCCAAATTAATGAATTTTTGATCTTAAAATATTTTCGGATGAATTTTATGTTTCTTCTATGTTTATGTTTATATTTTAATAAGAAACGAATTACGTAATTGGGCGTAATAAAGAATTGTATTTGTGTATTTAACTTCTGCGTAGCTTATTATTTCCATCATTTATTAATTAAGAGTAATAAAACCCGTGTGAAGCTGGCCCCCCAATATTAAAAAATCGAAAATTCTGACGGAGCATTCGTGAGCAAACGATGAGCAAACAAATGCAAAAAAAATATTTGATTTTTTAATATTGGGGAGCTAGCGTGAAGTTGGCTCTCCAAAATTTAAATTTCGTATAACTTTTGAATTAATGGTGAGCAAATGAAAATTCCGACGAAGCATTCGTGAGCAAACGATGAGAAAACGAATGCAAAAAAAAATATTCGATTTTTTAATATTGGGAGGCTAGCGTGAAGTTGATCCCCCAAAATTTAAATTTCGTATAACTTTTGAACTAAGGGTGAGCAAACGAAAATTCCGACGGAGCATTTGTGAGCAAACGATGAGCAAACGATGAGCAAACGAATGCAAAAAGAAAATATTCGATTTTTTAATATTGGGGGGCTAGCTTCACACGGATAATAATAAATTCAATAACAATTATGAGAGCAATAATATTAATTAGGGATGCACCGGATCGTAAAAGTACCGGATATCGGATATTTGGGCAGAATGTAACATCGGATATCCGGTATCCGATCGAATATCCGAGAAAACAATTTCTTTGAGTCGGATATCCTACATTTTCCGGATTCCGAGAAAATGTCTTCTAAAAAAAAAAGTCTATAGGGAAAAAGATTGTAATTTTGCGACAATGTATAAGATATTATGGCATCATGAATATGCATACTATTTCTAGAACATTCGTATGAGAAAAAAATCAACAATTTAATGATATCAAATTTCAACCGGATACCTCCCCGGATAATAGTGATATCCAACTATCCGGTCGGATAGTAAAAAAGTGCCGGATAATACCGGATACTGGATACTTTGTGGATATCCGATGCATTCCTAATATTAATAAACTAACATATATATATATATAATAATTATTTGTAACGATTTGCTGTCAAATTACGTATGAAAATTTCCTTTTTTTACATATTTGCAGACTTTTCTTATCGAACTTTCATCAGTCCTTGTACTCAAGTTAATTTGTGTTATTTTTTATTGCAGAAGATAAACAATATTTATTTTTCTTAATAAAACAGTATCATCTCGTTTCACATTCACGTGACTGTAATCATGAGAAATGTGACATGCACATGAAAACATGCGAGCTTTCAAATATTTAGCAAAACAGCAATACAAGAGCGAAGAGAAAGGGCGGGTAGCAAAAGGGGTTGTTTGTATACGCGTATACTTTTAACACACTTACATTAATACAGCCCTGACTGGCGCCAATCCGACTGTGCCGCAGTCTCGTAGGCGGAAATCTCCCGCAGCGTGGGACTCTCGCAAAATGACATTTTATAGCGAATACCTATGTGATCGCTATGGTATAAAAAGTCTCAAGAAAGATACACAGTAGAAAATGCCGTTGGGATCTGTCAAATTAATATTATCGATGATGCGTGAAATTTGAAAGCGTATCCCACCCGATATGTCGCACTGGAATAATATAACACAACAATAATATAAAGTTCAGTTTGTTTTGTATTAACGTCACTACATGAAGAAGAAATAATTGTATAACATCCCCTACACTGATCTACAGCATGAAATATTGCGCAATATTTCAATAATGCGCAATATTACAAAAATTGTAGCAATATTACTACAATATTTGAAATTTTTAAACATTTGATTGGAAATATTGCAATAATGTTGCAAAATATTGTAATTTTTATATTTTGTAGAAAATATTGCAATATATTGTTGCAATATTACAATTCGTTCAATAATTACGCAGCCCCGCCACGAGAGAAATACGTTTTTCGTAAAGAGAAGACGTCTAGGAGTCCTATTAGAAGGAGCACGCAAATCAAGTTAGCGAGTCTCCTGAAGATCTTCCTAATCTTTTTTGGATGTGCTTCCTAGGCCTCCGAATATTTTTTGATCATAACTTTATCGTATGTATTTTGGAATATGATGCTGAACAATAATATATTAGCGATTAATAAAACTAGAATAATTATTGAAACATTGTATAATGTAATATGTATTCAATTTTTTCTCTAAATATTGCAGCAATATTTTATTTTTTTTTGCAGACACAGGAATATTGCTACTATATTACAACAATGTTTTATGAAATATTGTAATCTTTCAAAATAATATTGCTGCAATATTGCTGTAAGGGATATTAAAAACTTGATATCTACAATAGAATATTGAATATTCTAAATTTATATTGGTTAATAGAAATTGCTTTAGTGCTGGGATATATTGTACAGTAAACTAGGATCTGATTCTTGTAAAATATCGCATATGAAAAACTGACTATAATGTACCTAACTTATATGTATATATATATAGTATAATATTATCGTACATCTTTGTATGTGATATATTTCACGAATTCAGACGCTGTATATACTCTTTCATATACATTGTTATTTTAAGGTGTATTCCATTTGGTGCTTATAATACTCGCAAGCATTGTTTGTTCTCATTTATTGAAATTTTTTAAAAATTGATTAAACATTCTTTTCAAAATTTGGAAATGCTTCAATCTTTGGCAGTAATGTATAAACATATAGTTAGCAAAACGACATTTATATATGGAAAACAATTTTCCTAAACACAATATAATTGTTTTGCATTACTTCAAATGATATACATAATATTTCCTGGAGATATTATCAGTCTAGTGACAAGTGCGCGTAGACTTTCAGGTCAATCAAATTTTTCAGAATTGTATCGGAACTATAATGACATTCTGTATACACGTGTATAACTACCACATTATACGAAACCTTACTCTTGCATGCATGAAACAATTAAGAGTTTATTTCCCTTAACGTTGTAACTATCTCTTGAAACATACCGCACTTTGTAATATTCAAATCCAATTTACTCAACGAAGTCGATGCAAAGCTCATGGGCTTCCAACAAGTCGTAACATATATATTTATATACTGCTTTGGCATTGTCGTAACTTAGATCATTACTTCGTTGATGCGTTATTCCAAACGAATGAATTATAAACACTGTTTCCCAAGTTGTAAGCAACATTTCAGCAGCCACAACCATCATTTCGCGATGAAGCTTAAGGGGAGAAGAGCTCTTGTCGCACATTCTTACTTATTCATATAAACCAGAATAGCCACCGAATTTCCAATATATCGATAACCGATACTGCAACATTGCAGAGATTTTTATCATGTACTCAGGTGTTGTTGCAATAATTATATCAACATCAATAAATCAATTTCCCTGGCTCGTAACAAGCTGACGTTTTTCATCAGGAGATTCGTTTTAAAACTGCGCAGGAACTATGTTGGTCTTTGTTTTATGAAAGCGCGATATAATATTATAATCCACTAGCTTTGACTTTATGATGAAATGTTGTTATATTTATTGACATAAATATTTATAAGTAAATATCGAGGTAAATATCTATATAAACAAGGTAATCAGATCCTTGTACGATTTACCTAAGCTACTTTGCAATTTTTTTCTAATTTTTTGCTGATTCCAAAGTTGGAAACTGATGATCAGATTTAAAAGGGAAAATATTTTTGTATATTAAAAAAATGTAAGACATTTTCAGATGTGTATACAGATACAGTTAAGATTTTAAGAAAAAGTAGCATTTAGTTCATATTGGGTAACAATACATTTTCTTCTTTTTCGTAAGAAAAATGTTAGCGAAATGAAAAATAAAGAGATCCAGTGTTATTTTTATAAGATTATAGTTTATTATCATATTATTTATAACCAAAGAGGGAAAATTCCTTATAAGAAAGAACCAATATGACCTTAGTATATTAAATGATCGGTATACACATCGATCGTTTTTTTAGTATTTCAGTTGTTATTCACAGTTGCCAGGTCCCGAGCACTGTACGGTAATTATTGTTTAATTTCTCAATTTTACAAAACTTTCTCTAACAATTTTATCTGCGCTATCGCGCTTGTAGTATTTATTACATCCTTATGAGAAGTTTTATGATAAATGCAATCGTGCTTATTACAGGGGCGGATCCAGAGAGTTATTCTGGGGGGGGGGGGGATATAACGAAATATAAATATTTATTGATGTTATTTTTCCCGGATTCACAAATCGATTTAAAATCAATTAATTTTTAGGACCATTGAATTTAATACTTACTACATTTTTTATTAATCTTCGAAAAATCGACATTTTATCAATGCAGCATTGATAAATTATTGATCTTCTCGATGTAGCATTGATAAAATGTCGATCTTCGAAGATCAATAGAAAATGTAGCCAATATCAAATCAAACGGTATAGCCGATAAATCAATCGATATTGATTTGATTTATATTAATCTT